GTGTGATTTATTAGCTTGTTTACCCGTGGGGACCTCAATTTAGGTCCCCACCGTGTCACGGACCTAAATTGACACGAGTCACACCATGAATCTGTGTGTATTCAGGTTTAAGTCCCCACCAGAATAGAAAAACGGACTCTCACAGACTCTCACAGATGCAGACGCAGACACAGACACGCAGACACACGCAGACACGCGCACACACACGCAGACACGCGCACACACACACACTGACACACACACACACACACACTGACAGACTGACACACACACACACACTGACACAGACAGACAGACAGACAGACACACACACACACAGACAGACAGACAGACAGACAGACACACGAATTTATATAAATTAATTATTCTAAAAAGCTTCCATAGTATTATTTGATAACTTAATATACAATTTTTTTTTTTTACAGATGTTTACCGTAGCATAGTTATAGTTATAAACATAACTTTTTTTTAAAGTTAAGACACAACAGATAAAAGAAGAAATGAAGAGAAAAGACATGATAAAAGAGAAAGATAGAAAGAGAAGCATCAATTCTGGATCGAGGGAATAGAAAAGAGCGATAAAGGGAGACGAATAGAGGGACATTTGAATATATAAATAGAGAAGAGAAACAGAACCGATACGTTACAAAAGAGCTTCTGGATCTTATTTTACCGACTGAATGAGATTTTGGAGAGAAATCGAGGGTCTGATTACAGCAGAGAGACGGGCTTCAGTGTGTGTGTCCACGAGAAAGAGCTCTTTCACACACACACACACACACACACACACACACACTCGACTCCTCCTCCTCTCTTTCCTCTGTGTCCGGCTCATCTCGCTGCTGTGTCTGTCTCAGGAGGAGGATGAGGAGGAAAGACTGAGAGACGCGTGTCCTCCGGAGGAGCCCCATCTCAGACGCCTGGAGGAGGAGATCGCCAAGGTGCTTTACAACACTTTAACACTGTCTCATGGCTTTATATTACCTGTTTGGTTTACTGTGTGATGTTTGCATGCTAGTTTTTATTAATGATAGAATTTTGCACATTCTCGGCTAATGATGCACTGAAATATTTTTTTTTTAATTACTATTATTTGTTTTAACCAAAAGTTTTCATTTAGACCAAAACCATAACCAAAAATAATGCTTATCCAACATTTATTTATTTTTTTTTAGTAAGAAAACCTTAGTGAAGGTTCTATAGTTTTATGAGGAATGTTGTTGCTTATTCTCGGCTGATGATGCACCAAAATTCATTTTTTAAATAATATTTAGCTGAAAACTGAATGTTCATAAATAACATTTAAATATTGCATGCTTTTTCCCCCCTTAAATTTAGGAAAACCTGTGTGTAGTTTCTATGATAGTTTTATGAGAAATTTTGCTTATTCTAGGTTAGTGATGCACTGAAATTAATTTTTTACCAAAAGTCTGTAGCCGAAACCAAAAATAATGTTGTTTTTTTAATATATATATATGTATATATATGTATATATGTATATATGTGTGTGTGTCAGACACACTGACACAGACACACTGACACTGACACCCACACACTAACACAGAGACACAGACACACAGACGCACTGACACACACACACTAACAGAGACACAGACACACAGACGCACTGACACACACACACTAACAGAGACACAGACACACAGACACACTGACACAGACACACTGACACTGACACCCACACACTAACACAGAGACACAGACACACAGACGCACTGACACACACACACTAACAGAGACACAGACACACAGACACACTGACACAGACACACTGACACTGACACCCACACACTAACACAGAGACACAGACACACAGACGCACTGACACACACACACTAACAGAACACGAAAACCTACAAATATTATGCAGGTGTATGAGGCTGCCCTCAGCTCTCAGTTTTATATCTAACAGTCAGGGGACAGGGCAAAATCATCTGCCACTGGATAAGAATATATATATATATATATATATATATTAATACAAATAATAAATTGCACACAAATCAGTCTGTAAAATTTTGATTGATATTTGTTTTTTAATACAAATATTAAACTGCACATAAATCAGTCTTTATATCAACTATTTAATGATATAATTGTTTTTACTCCAATTTGTTGAAATATAAACATTTACGGTGACTAATAAAAATAGGTTTTCATGACGGATTTATAAGACCTCACCAAAAGATTAAGTACATATGCTATGAATATGTAATATAGTTCATATATTTATCAAAAAATATTTTTCTAACTGACTATAAAGTTTATGCGCATTGAATATCTTTCCTGAGGTTATGTGACATTATGGTTTTTTACTGAAGTCTTTCTGCGGTTGAGAAACTGATCGATCGATTCCATGATTCATGATTGATTTCAGTAAGTTGTTCTGTTTCTTTCAACACGGTGATGTTAGTTTTCGTTCATGTTTATTTGGTGCTATAGCTAATAGTAAAGAGGAAGAGATGAATAGCTTCAGCGTTTTAAGCTCTGTCTTGAATCGATGGCTTCACGAGTTTGACATTGTGAATGTCTGCCGTTATGGATCTGAAACGGTGGATGTTTTTGCGTTTGCTGCATCAGGTGATCGTGCAGATGTCGGTTGAGTTCGCCCAGCAGACCGAAGAGGCCCGGATCAGCAAACAGGCCCGCGAGACAAGCACCGGCACACAGACGGACGACAGCGAGGATGAGGAGGAACGACTGAACTCTGTGAGCCTGATGAAGGTTAGATCACGTGTACCACAGATTCCTCAACGCTGTGCTTCACGAGTTCGGCTTTTATTATGGATTTTGTTCATTTTAATTCTCATTAGGATTCAGAATTGGGTCATCAGTGAATTTTCAGCTTCCTTTATTGAATATATGAGCTCGTGAGTCTCAGATTCATTCTGCAGCTCGAACTAGATGAACTGTGTGTGTGTATGAGTGTGAGTGTGTGTGAGTGTGTGTATGTATGAGTGTGTGGATGATCTGTAGGACGAGTGTCATTTTGTAGCATTGAAGCCCTTCAGCTCACATTTACTGCATGAAAACACACACACACACTCACACACTCACTGCTTTTAGCTCCAGTGTTTTTGACGAGATGGGAATGAGCACGTTATTTAACCGATTAAAAACTTCTGTCAGATTCATTCTGATCTTTAAATTCATGCATGTATGAATCGTCAGTGTGTTTATACTGTCAAAGTGAAATCAGCCATAAAAACATTATAATGTTCAGTAGAAAATAAGTTACTGTGTAAAGGAATGGTTCACCTTACGGGTATTATAGTTAACTTAACGTAATACTTACATACTTTTACTTACATAAAAAAATTACTTGAAATAAAAACAAAACATTAACTGAAATAAATTATGGAAATATTATATAATATATAATGTAATAAAATATGAATAAATATTATATAAATATTGTACTTGTATACATATTATAATATTTAAATAATTATATACTAATATAAATATTATACTAATTTTATTTAAACTAGTTTCCATGGCAACAGTTCTCTTTTTCATTTAACTTCTAAAGACATCTTTTTCGCTATCACCTGACCAATTAATACTAGCACTTACCTATTCTACTCTACTCTACTCTACTATACTCTGTTATACTCTACTCTTTTCTATTCTACTATATTCTATTCTATTGGTCTGATTGCTTCTACTTTGTAAGTCGCTTTGGATAAAATCATCTGCTAAAAGACTAAATGTAAATGTAATGTAAAATGTAATTTAACCTGATGTATTAAAATAACTAAAAATAAAACAAAACTAAAATTAATAAAAACAAAATTAAAACTAAATAAAAAAATGATAAAAATGACAAAAATGCAACAAAATTACTAAAACTTTCAAATAAAAAATCAGATAATATAAAAATGAAAATGAATTTATGTGGACAACTTTAAAGATGATTTTCTCAATATTTAGATTTTTTTGTGCCCTCAGATTCCAGATTTTCAAATAGCTGTATCTCAGCTAAATATTGTCCTATCCTAACAAACCATACATCAATGGAAAGCTTATTTATATATGAAAAATTGACACTTGTGATTTGGTTTTGTGGTCCAGGGTCACAAATATTAATAAAAACTATAATACTATCTCAGTGATGCTAAAATAACACAGATTTACCCAAACAAGTCAACGTTAACTGTATTGAATACTATATTAGTGTCCACACCAACTGTTTATTTTGCAGTTTTGTTGTCTGTCACTTTAAATGCTGGGGCTCTTTAAAGTCAGGTGGATTCTGATTGGCTGTCGGTGTTTTTATCATTCATCAGCTCTGAAAGTGATTCCAGCGGTATCGTTCCTCTGTGTCGTTATCGTTAGAGTTGCGGTGTGGGCTCTCTGTTCTCATAGAGAGAGGGCAGTTATTAGAGTATTATTATAGTCATCGTTCTTGTCAGCTCTGATGCTGAGCCCATAATCAGCTGCTGACGTCTGATGATTGAGTCTAACACTCGTCTGCTGACTCCACAGTCTCCTGAAGAAGAGCAGACCTTCATCACTGAACACACAACACAAGAGGAGGAGGATGAGGAGGATGAAGAGCACTTGCGCTCTGAGCTGGTCCCGCAGGAGGAGGCTCTCAGATCGTCACACACACTTCAGCTGGAGGCGTATCAGGGGCAGAACACACTCCTGACGGCTCAGATACACACACTCACCCAGCAGCTCCTGCAGGTGTGCGCTTCTTCCTGTGGAAGCACTTCCTGTTCCTGTCTCTCTCTCTCTCACACACACACTCTCTC